CACCAACAAAATAACCGAAGAAGAACAACGTGGGGTACCACACCATTTGCTAGGGATACTAGATCCTAATGCAGATTTTACAGCAACAGATTTTTGTGACGAAACCTCACTTACCATTGAATCCATTTTAGGCCGCGATCGTCTTCCAATCATCGTTGGAGGCTCCAATTCGTACATTGAGGCCTTGATTGATGACTATGACTATAAATTTCGGTCTAAATACGAATGTTGTTTTTTATGTGTAAACGTATCCACGCCGGTTCTGCACTCATTTGTGTCAAAACGGGTGGACAAGATGGTCGAAAATGGGATGGTGGATGAGGTGAGGGAGTTCTTCCATCCCAATGCGGATTACGGGAAAGGGATTCGAAGGGCAATTGGGGTGCCCGAATTCGATAAGTACTTTCGGTATGGGCCATTTTTGGATGAAGAAACTAAAGCTAGGCTACTAGAACAAGCAGTGGAGGAAATTAAGAACAATAATTGCAAATTGGCCTCCCGCCAATTGGAGAAGATTCAAAGACTTAGAAATGTTAAAGGGTGGAATTTGCATCCTTTGGATGCCACGGAGGTGTTTCGAAAGCGCGGCAAGGAATCCAATGAAGCCTGGGAAAAGTTTGTTTATGAGCCAAGTGCTCAGATTGTTCGTCAGTTTCTGTACAATTATGCCACAGCTGAGGTCCCTGCCAATCTTGGTGCCATGAGGGTCCCTATGGGAAGTGCAGCACTCGCTGCTGCAACTCACTAGGAAGACTTAGATATTATTTCTTTCTTAATTATTGAATACATTTTTATGCACTACCTTAATCTAATCATGAGTGTAAAATAAAGGATTAATTTTCAATGTCGTGGAAATTTCGTAAGCAATAATTAATTTATATGCTCCATGTCATGCATGATATGATTAATTATAGATAGCTTTTTGGCTTTAGCTTTTTAGAGGCATCGGATCCATGAAAAAAATAGGGTGTATTATTATTATTATTATTATTATGATCTTGAAGTGAATGTATGTAAGTTGTAACCTACAAAATGACTGCTATAATAAAGTTGTTCTTTCTTTCTTTTTATTTATTTATAGTAATTCTGTCATCCATGACATCCCTTTATATAATTGAAAGGAATTGGCCGTACAAATTGCGACTCCGTACGCATGTATATCATCAGTCACATCACACACGCTCTTTTCTTTTTTTCTTTTTTTTCTTTTTTTTTTTTTTTTGGTGTGGGTTGTGTCTATGAATTTAAAGAATCAGAATCTTGTGATGATTATAAGGATGAGAGAGAGAGAGAGAGAATTAAGTTAATTATAAGGATCTGGATTCTCATGCTCTGATTTTCTCTGTCATGATCTGCTTAACTTTCATTCTCTACATGCCATCTCATTAAAATTTAACCTAAGAGATTTAAACTAGACACATCATAATTAAAATAAAATTCCAATTTACTCCTAATTAAAAATAGAAGTTTAAAAAAAAGCCCTAATTTGACTTACTCCAACCTAACATTGCATTTTTTTTCTCCTTCTTCTTCCTTCCCCACCCCACATGCACTGGCGGATCCACAGAGGTGCAAGGAGGTGCACCCCCTCCTTGAAAACTTCATTGGAGATGCCGGAATTTGCCACTTTGCTAGTGCCCACCAATTATTCGACTAAATGCCTCAAAGACATTGTTTTGTTTGTTGCTGTGTAAGACCATGAATATTTAAATTAGATTGTTGGGCTCGATCTCATGAGCATGTAGGAGAAAACGGTTCATTAATCGGAGCTCCACAACTAAAGTTATGAATTTTCGAAGTTTTTTTAGAATTGATGAAGTTAAGTTGCATAGGCAGTTCAAGGAAGAAGAAAGATTCAGCGTCAATCCAGCTCTTCTTATTTTGATTCTTTTTTAAATGGTCCAATAGCAAGCCGACACATGTCATTTTCTAATTGGTCTAACTTAAGAATTCATTAAAAACTCATGTGTGCCAAAAAATTCACCAAAAATTACCCTGAACTTTTAATCACTTGTACTTTTATCTTGTGACCTCCAAATCACATGTGCTTTTGGTTAGATTAATTGGTATTGACTTTTGTTAGATTAATTATGTAATTGACATAGATTTTATTCATATTTGATATGAATTTTGGTAAATTAATTGTGTCACTAACCTGAATTTTGTTCATATTAATTGATATTCCATATAGACTATAATCAGATTCCATATAGACTAATTTTGTTCATATTAATTGGTAAACTCTTATTTGTTTTAATTATGAATGGTATTAGTATTGTTTAAATTCTAAGGGGATTTGGTTGTCTAAATTATTTTTTGAATTTTTAGCTTTTTTTTAACACACTACACAGATATTAAGATTTGAACCAATAAGGACCTTGCTTAAGTACTTTGCGAATTTTTAGCCTTTTAAATATTGCAACTCTCTTGCAAAATTCCTGGATCCGCTACACTCACACCCCCAACCCAATTCATAACATCTTTGCAGTACATTGATCAAGCAACTGTTGTTGTATTTGATGAATTGAATGGAACCTTCAACTTTTCATAGTCGACAGAAATCTCATATTTCTAAGGGTCACTAAGAATCATTGGTTTGGGAAATTGGGGAAAGAAAATAAAAAAATTGGAATGCCTTTTCTTTTCTGGTAAAGCTAAACTAGAATGAGAGTTTAGCAAAGCTACAAAAGACCCCATCTAGAATGCCAACGAATGCGTCTTGTTGTGAAGGTATTAGCTCAAAGCAGTAAAAGTAAAAAAATTTCGAGAGGACATGAGTTGAGCCTCATTGACTCCTGCAATCCTAGCACGAAGTTTATGATAGCCCATTGGGTGGCAAAGATTACTCCAACGTCAGATTGATCAAATAGCTGCTGTTGTATTTGATGAATTGAATGGAACCTTCAACTTTCCCACGACAGAAACCTCATATTTTTTAGGGTCACTAAGAATCATTGGTTTGGGAAATTGCACTCAGATTTTATGGGAAGATGTACAGAGAAGGAAGAAGAAAGAAAAAATAATGTTATATACACGTTTAATTTTTTATATGAATAGTCAAGTTAGATAAATTTTTTTACATTTGTAATTACAAGTAAATTTGATTTTTATTTGAAGAATGATATATTCAGTTTAAATTTTAATGAGGTGACATATAGAGAACGAAAGCCAAACTGATAATGATGAAGAAAATCATAACAAGCCGCTTGACTATTGGATGCAATTGATTAATTACGCAAAAGATAATTTCATCGATAAAAAAGCAACTTACAAAATTGAAATACTTTGCGAAATGCAATCCCTTTGTGTATTATTAATATATGCTTTGCTTTCTTTTCAAGCATCACACACACACAAAGACAAACCCCTTTTGTTTTGATTAATTTCCAGATATGCAGTTGATGAGACAGATGGAGCACCCCACCTCCCACTAATACATTCCCTAAATTAATGGGATTAGAAGATAATCCATCTCTAATTACTTGTGAGTTGTCATTATTTACTGTTTATGGTGAATCTCATTACACGTACGTAATGGCTTTAACGAAAGTACCCAAAATTGACCTAGATAAAGAGAGAACCCAAGATATTTTTGCTGTGGCTTCATGACGCTGCTTGCTAGCAAGCACATATCTAGACCAAGCAAGTGGTGCCGCAGATGGGCCTCTTCTGCTGCTAGGGTTTCAGATCCCACAAGTGGCTTTGGGCTTTTATATATAGCTTTATTTTTCTAGGGTTTCAGATACAAAATATTTATTTGCTTCTTCTCTTTCCTTTGTATTTCATGGGTTCTTCTGACCCAAAAAGGAAACACGCAAACACGAAAATGGAAACAAATTGTGCTATGTTCGGAAACCACTAACCAAAAGTTACTGTTGTCATTTTCATAATGCATCATCCATGGATACATTATTCTGGTTCCTTCCTGTCGATGTTCTCTCTTCTTGCCCATTTTCCTTGTGTAACCCTAATAATATATGAAAATGAAATCCAACAAGCATATATCCAGCCTGGAAAACACACAATAAAGAAAAGGAGGCATCTGTTTTGGTTATACGTCCAAACAAAGTCAATTTCCGCCCATTCTTTTGTTGTCCATAAAGAAAGAAAACGAAAAGGTTTGTCCTTTCACATACAAAAAAGAGGGCATTGCTATTTATTCGTAAAAATATTGCTCATCACCTCAAATAAAGAGGTGGTCAGTAAATGTGGTACAAATAAATAGTAATGCCCCGACAAGTACCTTTAACTTTTTAATTAATATAACAAGCTCATCTTTATGCTCACAAGGGACCTCCTCGTACGGAGTTTTCAAGTTTGTAAAATGTGATATGGTCAATATAGATTTCACTATTTTAAAGGCAGAGAATATTTTTGCATAAATTCAAAGAGAGAATAAAGTTTAGGGTGAAATGGGAATGAATGGGGAAGAACGACTTGATATACCGACTGGTACAAGACAAGCCAATTTGTTATAGTCAATTATTCTTTTCGAAAAAGAAGGGTAAATTTCGAATAAACTCTCTTCAATCAGTCACCATCTTTAGGATATCAGAACATTATTATTGCGGTTGTTATCAGCATATATACATCTCTGTTTCCATTTGGGGTCTCATTGTCGCATTTGAAAACACTTGGAAATATTTCATTTATGGATCCAAAAGAGATACGATATCTACATTCTACAATTGTATGAGCAAGATAACCCAATGGCTGAACCTCAAACCTTGTTTAATATATATATATATATATAAGTTATCCAACGTTTTGGTTATCTGATGATATTCCGATTCTTCCATTATTTGAGCAAGAATTAATCGAACTACTCTTCTCGTGGTGTAGTGTGGATTCTACCTAATAAATGCTCTACCACTGAAGCTAAAATCTCGGCCTAATTCGAGTATGATTGATCACTGTTGCATCATTCTCTACCACTGAAGCTAAAATCTCGGCCTAATTCGAGTATGATTGATCACTGTTGCATCATTCTACACAAAAAACTGAAGCTGTAAAAACCATTTTCGTCTTTATATAAATACATTATTAGAAATCATATTGATGGGTAATTGAGCTTGTGTTCGTCTTCTCCATGCTACAACTTCAAATCTATGTTGAAAACTCAAAATTATTAGAAATATAAGCTGCTAAACGAACACCACACTATGACAAGATTCAGCATTACACTCATACGTACCATTTAAATGTCATAACACTAAACATAGCAGGCAGCATATATAAATAAAATTCTCCGTACTCTGATGAATACCGCCGGGCTTCACAAGGTGGTAAGATGTTTTATTCAGACCTTTATCCTGATCGGAGTTCCGCATGTGTAGGTAACACGACAGAATTCCCCGACAGCTACAGTGTAGGCATGGGTAGGCTTAAGGAGGAATGTAGGCAGGTGCACCAGCAACTCACACACACACTCATTATCCAGCTGGGTCAACCATCTACAACAATTATCTTCTGCAGGTGAGGGTTCGGGTTCATGGTGCCCCCCATGCCTGTGCCTATTATGACCGTGTCTATGCCCGTGCCCGTGTCCGTGCCCATGTCCATGCCCATGCTCATGTTCGTGTTCGTGTTCGTGTTCCTCACCTCCATCATCATCGGGGGGAGAAGAGGGGGGAGGGGAGGGCGGTGTCGGATGGGGAGTTGGAGTGAAGGGCAGCAATGCACATGCATAGTTAGCAAGCGCAAATTGTGAAGCACAAAGAGGGCGGGGAGGTGGGAATATACGCTGTGCCTCCATCTTGGGCACAAATATTAGGGAAGCTACAAACAATGTTAAAGTAAGAATCTTGACTCTCTCCATGCCAGCTATCTTCTGCCTTCTGCTAGTACATGTGAGATGTGAAGAGAAAAGATGGATGGTTTTAGGTGTTTTAGGCTAAACCTTGTATTTATACAGTTTTGTGCTTTCATAAGCTTCTTGTTTTCTTGAGTTTAGTTAGGCTCTCTTTGTGGGTGATAATAATTAATAAGTCATGGGTATTGCCAAGGGGATGAGTTTAGGTTTTGAATGGTTTTTCGTTCTCATTCATTTTGTGTGAAGACTCTGTTAGTGTTAGGTGACGTGCAAACTCTTCTAAATTGCTCCTACCAACTGCAAGAGCAGAGAACAGAAAATACTTCACAAATTGGCAAATTGTTAAAGATATTTCCTTTGCCTTGTCCATCTAGAAGACATGGATAATATATTTGGTGAATACTATCTTCCTGTTTGACCATCAACATGGAGATAATGAAAATGAGGAAGAACCTATTGCATGCCCTGTTTGCACAATCATTCAAGTAAATGAAATGGTTAGAGCTAAAACTCAAATGAAATAGTCAACATTTGTAGATTATTAAGGGAAGCAGAATTTCTGGTTTGCCAAAATATGGTAATAGTTGGATGACTAAGTCTCATGAAGTTCTGAACCAACCCACTCATACAGAGAGAACTAATGCAGAGATGAAGAGGAAAGCTCAAAAGTAGATCAGTTCAATTATATTTGGAACAAGATTCACTTCCTACATGGTATACATCATCTGATGTTCTTAACAGAAGTAAATTCATGATAATAATTTTCAGATCTATTGTCCTGTTTAAGGCAAGACACTCAACTTCTTGTCAGAATTCATTGTATGAGAAATCAAACTCCAGCCTTAATAAATAGACACTATAGTCTCACTTCCAGAATAATGCCTAACGAGATCAACATTTTCTGAAATCGTGTCATCTTGCAAACTGAGCATGACACAGGCGAAGTTGAGATAACGGGGGTGTGAAAAAGATGAAAATGTTCACCGTTATTTTTATGTTTGATCAGTTATGAAATTTACAAGCATGTATCACAAATGGTCATAGTTGTTTCATCAATAATTCCCATTTTCTACAAATTGTTGTACAGTTCAACAAAACTAAGTACAGATATATAATAATGGGTCCTATATATGACACCAAAAGAAAGCAGTTTCACCCTCCATTCAAGAGATACAGTTACACCAAGAATCACTACAAATTTTTTGAGGAATGTGAGTACAAAAAGGAACCTTCTCCTGGACAGAATACTATAATCCCACACAACCAAGATCATCCAATATTTTCAACAGTATTTGCAGCTCAATATCAATAGAAATTTCAAATAAGAAGTAATTCCTTCTTACCTGTCAGCATTCATCTAGTTGCAAAACTCACCTTCCTTGATCATCAACTATTCTTTGTACCTGTACTTGCCCTATTCTTTATTCCCCATGGCCATCCTTTCCTTGTCCTTCTTAACCTCTTCCATTTGCAGCTGCAACTGTTCTTTTCTCTCCCTCCATCCCTCCTCCAATAGCTCAACAAACTTGTCCTTTATCTCTAGCAGAGGATCACAGTCAATCATTTCATCATCCTTGTACGCTTCCCTGAGCACCGCTGTCTTAATCCCTCCCTTCAATGACAGATAGAATATCCCCGAATGCCTTGTGAATACATTCGAGAATGCATTTGAAAACCTATACTCATCACTAAATTTCCCCAATATGGGCACAGGAATCCTCTTAAATATGGACAATGATAACAGCTCATGGAAAACCCCAACCGTCCTCTTCTCCATTTCCTGAGATGCTTGATCCAATTGCGACACATCCTCATATGGCGATATGTAATCCAGCTCCATCCAATCCCTAACCCACTCCCTCATTTCCCTCTTCAAGAAAAACCCTGATGGAAGCTTATAATAAAAATTAGGACGAACTCGGATTCCTGTCAAATTTGACTCCTCTTCTGCTCTTCTCTCAATCACAGATTTCGCAAACTCGGGGTTCCAAGAAACCAATTCCAGAAATGATTTCTCCTCCCCAGGGAACCCAAGTATCCTAAAATACTGCGGATACTTGGGCACCAAATTGACCATAAAATCATTAGGGAACCCAAATTCCCTCTTGACATGAACCAATTTATCAGCACTAAGCACTTTATCCTTGGACATCATCAACAATTTACACAACTTAGACACAATCAGAGGCTCATTTTCCATAACAATCCCATTCCTTTCTTCAAGAATTTGCTGGAGCCTATCGCTAATTCGAAGAAACTTAACGGGTTCCGTTTTGGGTTTGATTCTATCATAATAAATATCAAATAAACCAGGGTTTCTGCTAAGAAAGGTTTTGACTTTGATGTTAAGGCGCAATCTTTCGCGCCGTTTTTCGAGGTACCGAAGTGGGATTGCCTGGCCCGGTTCGTTAAGGACCTCCTTGACGACCCGGGCACAGAGCTTGTACTGTTTGTCGTTCTCAATGGCCTGGTCTAGCTTCCGGTCTTTGCGCCAAACCACCTTGAGGCTCGAAATGGATCGAACCTGAAGGTGCGTTTCTGGGTTCGTGTGTGACGTGAAAATGGTTGTGTGGTTGTGCAAATAGGAAGAAATGGTTCGGGTCTTGGGGAGCATACCTGGAATCAGAGACCGAGCCAAACCCCACTCAACACAGTGAGAGCTTACAGAGAGAAAGAGACGGCGAACCCAATTTCAGGGTGTTTTTTTGTAGCGGCAAAGTTGAATGGGCTGAGTTATATATGCTTTTATTGGTTTGGGCCTGGCCTTGGCCCAATCCAATAAATAGTATACAGAGCTCGACCACAGCGGATAAAACACCCCATTATAGTGGATTTTCGTTTGTTTGTTGACAAAACGATATTCTAACTAGTATAATATACAAGAAGGGAGATCGAACTCAAGTGTATGAAGATATACACATTATCTTAATCAACTAACCGAATACAACACTATCTTGGGCAACAGATTGTGTCAAAATTAGACACAATCATAGATCGTTTGATATCATTGATTTTGCTTCCCACTTGGGCAGAAAATACTCAAGCCCCTTTTTTTAAGTGGAAACTTTATACATTCATGTTAATAGTAGTATGACGTGTGTATAAGTTTTTCTTTATATATTTTTGATAAATTATTTTTGCACATGACATGGCAAAATGTGATTTATAGGGAGTGTCCCTCCTACACCAACTTACTTAAATATGATATATTTTTGCTCACCACTTTAACTCAAGATGTACACTCACCACCCTTTTCAACACTTGACACGTGTCCATTGTTATAACCATAATTAACTCTTTACTTTGTATTTATGCAATTATGGTTATATCAATAGATACGTGTCAAATGTTGAGAAGAGTGATGAGGGTACAACTTAAGTTAAAATGGTGAGCAAAAATACACCCTACTTAAATATAGTTAAAACAGATCTCCTGCAAGCCCCTCGACACTTCACACAATCCTGGCCGTCCATTTCGCTAACTCGATTTTGTTTGCTTTACGATACCCGCGTCTTCAACGGACGCGATCGTCCAAGCCGTTAACTGCATCACCTTCCCGCACGACGACAAACCAGTCATATGCTCACAAGTTAACAACAGCAAGTCAAAAACAAACACTTATTTTTTTCTCTGTCTCTCACTCGATTCGGACTCTCGCTGTCGACGGTGCTATGCTATCACCGAACACCGAAACCCTAGTTGCCTAGCTCGGACGACGACGACGACGACGATGATGCTGATGTGGAACGGTGCGAGGGACCTAGTGTTAGATTCGGACGACATTCCGTTTGGGACGGGCTCGTGGTTCCTCTACGCCGGAGTGTCGTGCCTGCTGGTCCTCTTCGCCGGGATCATGTCCGGGCTCACCTTGGGCTTGATGTCTCTCAATCTCGTCGACCTCGAGATCCTGCAGCGGAGCGGGAGCCCAACCGAGAAGAAGCAAGCTGGTCTGTTTTTCAGAAACGAAATTAAATTAACAAATTGTTGCTTAATCAACTTAATTAAGCTTGGTTATGAAATTAATGGCTTGATATTGATCTGTACGCAGCTAAGATTTTACCTGTTGTGCAAAAGCAGCACCAGCTTTTGGTCACTTTGCTTCTCTGCAATGCTTGTGCCATGGAGGTACTTAATACTTTTTAACTTAATTAAATTTTATAGATTTGCGGTTTGCCAACGGATTAATTAGTATTTGTATTGATCTTTGCTTTCCCAGGCGCTTCCTTTGTACCTTGATAAAATCTTTCACCCTTTTGTTGCTGTTGTGCTGTCTGTAACATTTGTTCTATTATTTGGAGAGGTACGGCTTTTCTCATTTTATTATTAATTCTTGCAATGCAACTGGGTATAGCCTTTAATCTTGAATGGGATTGTGCCTGACTTGTGCCTTGTCATGTTGGACTAGATTATCCCACAATCAATATGCTCAAGATATGGACTTTCTGTTGGTGCCAATTTCGTTTGGCTTGTTCGCATTTTGATGTGCATCTGTTATCCAATCGCGTACCCAATTGCCAAGGTAATGCTTATATCCTTGTACTGCATCTCTTCAAGTTTTTTAATTAATTGTTTTTGGCGTTATTAGACATTTAAGATATTGCATCAACAACACTGAGATGACTAAAATGGTGTTTCAATACTATATTCATGATCATTTCCATATTTGGATGAAAAAGTATGTTTCCTGATTCAGAAAAACAGAATAAGGAGTGAAGTTTGATATGTTTCAGATTCATATATTGCTATTATAGCTTTTAATTTAACCCATGGTTTCAGGTTCTGGATGCTGTACTTGGTCATAGTGATGATTTGTTTAGGCGAGCACAGTTGAAAGCCCTAGTCTCTATTCACGGCAAAGAGGTAAGCTGCTTAGGTTGGAAGTATTTATGACATGCCACCGCTTGCATTTGCCAAGATTTTGTTCATGACTACTAATTTTGTTGAAAGCTCTTTCTTTTGTTGCACAACAGAAGTAGTAATAAATGATACAACTACTTCTTGGGGTTATATCGGGCTTTGTGATTTGTGAATGGCTGCTGAAAATTCTACAACAGTTTTACCAATTCTAATGGTTTTCTATTTTCTTTGACTTGCTTTTTCTGTCCATTTTAGGCTGGTAAGGGAGGTGAACTCACGCATGATGAGACAACAATCATCAGTGGAGCGCTAGATTTAACTGAAAAGGTGCCTAATGTCTTAAGAAGTATTCTAAAATTTTCATCTTGTCCATATCTGCATTTGACATGGAAATTTATGAGACATTAAAGAGAGATTTGAGGAAAGATTTGATTCTATTAGG